TTTAAGTATTGCTATGTGCTTGTATAAAAATTATATAAAATCAATTATGAAAAATGAATATATCGACACATGATAATTTTAATGTTTTTCTATCGAATTTAACAGATATTAATTCATAATATACTTGATAACTGTCTTCCTTAATAAAAATTAAATTAAAACTTTGAGCCAATATCATTGAATAAATTATTTTATTTAAAAAACTGGATATATATATACTGTGTATATATATTAGGTATGGGAAAAAGTTCGTGGTGTTTTTCCCGTTAGATGGCATTAAAAAAACGCCACGACTTTTTCCCATACCTAATATATATATATATATACATACACATATATATATAAATACACACGCGCACGCACGTGTACACACACCCACACACATGCGCGCGCGTGTGTGTACAGCATACAATTTGCAGCGTTAATTGTTTAGTCACATATGCATACATTTACACACGCACGCTCACAGACGGATATACACATAGAAAGAGAGCCGAAAGATATTTTAAAGTTATTAACTTGCATATGTATGTATATTTTATAAATGTATCTTTTATGTTAATACTTTTCACAAGATTTAAAATTAGCTCCTTAAAAATTAATGCAAGAAACATTACGAAAAAAAAAAAAAACGAAAAAACGATGTACGTACTTTTACATTATATAATTGTGGAATGTGTACTTATGCTTACTGCCATATTCACATGAACGCGCACATATGATACAAAAAAATACAATAAAGCTAACGTGTTTAACTTAGGAGACAAAATATTGATTTAATCATAACTTTATGATAAAAATAAAAATATTTTGTTTGTTATGTACAAAAATAATTATGTATAATATCTAATGAGATAACATTTCAGATCTTGTGCAACAATGTTAAATACATATGAAGATTACAAGTGAGAAAAAAATTCAGTCATAAATGGTGACAAATACAATGTCTGTATCGCTTAAAAATAATAACAGTAATAATAATAATAATAATAATAGTAATAATAATAATAATAATAATAATAATAATAATAAAGACACAAAGAGTTTTAATACATGTTTCGTTAACGTATATGACATTATTAAAATTTCTACCTTTTTCTACCTATTTCTAGCTCTTTTATTGCTATTTTTTTTCGCGCTATTTCCAGATTTATTTTTATTGGAATCTTTACTATTACTATGACATTCTTTGACAGGTGTTGTAATATGTTCTAAATTTCCATTGGACATTGATCCATTTGAAAACTGAATCGAAGCATTGTCCGAGCTATTAAGAGTGCCACTATTTTGGACATGTCCGCTTTGAATAGAAGTATGATTTTTCCCACTAGCTTCTTTGTTATTACTGGAAGGAATTGCATTTGAATTGCCAAAGTTGCAATTGTCCTCACTGCCACTATTTCCAATCTGAGACTCTGATTCACTGTATCGTTCAACTGGAAACAGGGATCTCATATTAACGGTATAACATGCATGCAAATCGAAAGAAAGCAAGCAGTGGAAGATAGATATCGATTTATAGATCAAGATATGCGGTTGTATAAGCGAATGTTGGAAATACAATTTTTTCTCGTGTACCGACCATTACATCTCATATTTCTTGTATCATAAAATTTTAAACATTTGTGTAAAAGGAATAAATATTCCTTTTTAATTGTATTATACTATATTATATCTATCGCTATTATATTTGCAAGATACTAATTGACATTCTCTCAAAGGCATGGTTACTTAAGATATACATGCAGCATTATTTACATGGAAGATTAATTTCTTTAGAGGAAAATGAAGAGAGAAAAAAGCAATTTACATCGTAATTTCTTATATATTAAATAT